TTGTTTTAGGAAGATCAGCTCATCCTCATCTAGCAGCAATCAGTTGTCAATATTCCTTTAGATAAGACTGGGGTCTGTTGTTCATTTTCCCAGTTCTATGCTGGGTTACTGTCTAGGAGTCCCTTGTGTCAGCCTGGCCAACAACTCAAAGGAAGGTATCTCCTGTCTGGCATTGTTTCTCAAAGAATTATATTGATCCCTTAAATCTTTGGTTATACTTTCCTTTTCAGTGTTTAAGACCATACAGTTGGCCCAGATAAACCAATTTATTTTTACTCTTAAGGTCATTTGAGGATCTGTTCCTCAGGGGTCACATGCTCTTGGGAGGAGCCCCTGGCTCCTTTCTTTTACCGGTTCCATCTATATGAAGATAAATCAAAGGTCCTGCTGGACCGTGGCTGGCTTCACTTCGAAGCATGGAGGAAATGTTTCCTCTGTGTTGACCCTCTTCTTTGTAGACTGGACACTGGTTCAAGTCCATCTGGTGGGGTCTCCATGGCCTCCTTGATCAAGAGGACAGGTTACTCACCAGAATTACAGGACATTTTGAGAGATGCTCATAATCCCCTGGAAACTTAGTCGACCTAGGAAGGCAAGGAGAAAAAACTGTCCTTAATGTCCCTCTGACCAAATTCGTATAGGCCTCAAAGTATGACTGTTAAACATCCAAGAAAGTTTGTTCCACCAATCTGGTACTTTTAATTACCATGTGCCATGTAGATAAAGCTTGGACAAAGACCACACATTCTCAGACAAACCTTGCCTAGACATATATTATATTCCTTGATCTAGTTGTATGTATAATTTGTCAGTAGGTTGTTGGATTAATATGGTTCCCTCTGGTTTTTTAAAACTAGCTAGGCATTATTTATCTCTCACATTGTCTAACCGTTCTACCATGGTTTCCCCATTTAAGGTGCCCCCATTTTTCCCATTTCTCCCTTAATAATACCCTTCTTCTATGGTCCCAAGTCTCTTGAACTCCTTCTTTCCCTTTATCCCCTAGGTTCCTTGTATAACCTTCCCTCCCCCCCCCTTAAAATAACCCTATTTTTATCCATATCTCCTTATTAATGCCTGTTTTCTACTGTTCTTCTCTTTAAGATTCTTTCTTTTCTTTTACCTCCCTGGTTCCTTTTCATTATCCAGGTTCCTGTAGTTATGTCTGGATACATACTCACTTATCAGGATTTGGTGCTAGGATCCACATATGAGGGAGAACATACTTTTTTTTCTGAGTCTGTGTTACTTCACTTAGTATAACAGTTTCTAGTTCCATTCATTTACTTGAAAATTTCATGATTTTCATCTTTCTTTACTGCTGAGTAAAGCTTCATCGTATAAATGAACCACATATTCATTATCCACTTGTCAGTTGAGGGACACTTAGGTTGCTTCCATCTCTTAGCTATTGTGAAAAGAGCAGAAACAAACATGGATGTACAAGTGTCTCTGCAATCCAAGGAGTGGTATAACTGGGTCAAATGATAAGTTCATTTGTAGTTTTTAAAGAGTTCTCCACACTGCTTCCTTAGGGGTTGAACAAGTTTGCAGTCCCATCAGCAGTGGTGTGTGTGTGTGTGTGTGTGTGTGTGTGTGTGTGTGTGTGTGATATGCACATGTGGAGATCAGAGGACAACTTTCAGGACTCTATACTATCCTTCCATCATGAAATTTGGGGATTGCACTTAGGTTATCAGGCTTGTGTACAAGTGTTTTTAACCCATGGAGCCATCTTGATGGCATATTACACATACCTTTGTTTTAAAAAAAAAAAACAAAAACCCAAATACCTAAAGAATAATCTTGAGTATCTCATACTCCTTTTGGGTAACTTTTCTTTACTTCCTGTCAGCAGTTTAAAAGGCCTTGATTTGGTCCTTTTGCCTGATCTGTGGCTGTATTAGTCACTTTTCTGTTGCTGTGATAGAAACACTGACCAAAGCAATTTATGAAAGGAAGAATTTATCTGAGCTTACGGTTCCAGGGGAATTACAGTCTCTCATGCTGAGGAGGCATGATGTCTGTGGAGGTAGCTGGAGCAGGAGCAGCAGAAGTTAAGCTCTCACATCATCAAACAGGCACAGGAAGCAAGAGAGCAACTGGAGATCCGGCAAGGCTTAAGAACTCTCTAAGCCTGCCCCCAGTGACATGCCTCCTCTAGGATAGCTACAGTGCCACCATCTGGGGACAAAAATATCCAAATACTTGGAGCCTATGGGGAACATTTTCATTCAAACCACCACATTCTACCCCCTGGCCCCCATAGGCTCATGACCATATAAAATGCAAAATGCATTTAGTTCAACTTTAAAAGTCTCCATAGTCATTATCAGTCTCAATACTGTTCAAAAGTCCACAGTCCAAAGTCTCTTCTGAGACTCAGGGAAATATCTTAACTGTAAGCAGTTTCTGTCCTAGTTCGTCTCTCCATTGCTATAATAAAATACTCTGACCAGTAGTAACTTGGGGAAGAAAGGGTTTATTCAACTTACATCTCCCAAGTCACAGTTCATCAGGGAGCCCAAAGAAAGAACTCAGAGCAGGAACCTGGAGGCAGGAGCTGGAGCACAGGCCATGGAGGATCGCTGGTTACTAGCTTGCTCCCCTGGCCCCTACTCAGCTTGCTTTCTTATACAATACAGGCCCACCTGCCCAGGGATGGCACTACCCACAGTGGGCTGGGCCCTCCCACATCACTCAACAATCAAGGAAATGCCCCACAGACATGGCCACAGGCCAGTCCTATGGAGGTAATTCCCCAATTGAGGGTCCCTCAACCTAGGTGTGTCAAGTTGACACTAAAGCTATCCAGCACAGTGGCCCTCTAAGAATGACATTCTAGAGTCTGTGACCCAAAGGACTGGGGGAATATTTAAATATAACCTGTAATGAAAAAGGTTGAGAGCCACATTGGAAATAAAAATGGAAAACAAGAATGAGTGTCAGTTCTGTGAACTCTTTAGGATATTATTTAAGATATTCTTTGTCATGGGGAAACAGCTGGGAATAAAATCCTCAAAATGGAAGATTTTACTCAGAATCTTTATGTGCAAGATTATATACATGTATATATATAATATATATATACATATATATATATATGATTTTACCTGGACTCAGACTAATCAAAGGCTCTGACAGGGAAGAAGTAAACAGCAATGGATTCATGATGATGATTTGTTGGAAAATAAAAATGTAAATGGTGAATAAATCGTATGTACGGTGACACCACCAGATAAATCTAAATATGAAGGGAAGAAAGAAGAGATGAGATTAAATTCAGAATCATAAATCAATCATGCATTGCCTGGAGATGCCCTCTGTGTATTTTAATATATCAGAGAACAAAAGCAGTAGTTGATGTCATCTTCAGCAGTGGGACTCTGCTGAAGAAAACCATACTTCTAAGCAATTTTAAGTTACTGGTTTTGTTAACTAAATAGACCACGTGTTAAATTAGAATATAATTTTATGGCATGTACATGTTGGGTTTGGTTTCTCACTCTGACTTTTCTCTAATGAGTTCATCTGGTGAATGCTGACTAACTTGAGGACCGGTAGAAGAGAGGCATAGGCAGAGTAGGCTTAGAGTACAGATAAGGAGCAGGTGCATTTTAGAGCGAACAGGGAGCATACTGGCCAGTTGGGAAGTGGAAATACTAGCTGGCCTGGCTTTGGTTTGGTGGATGGGGCGGGGGGAGTTAGACAAATTTCTGACACTACCCATCTTGGAGATAACTCTATTCAGTATCCTGTGAGGAAACAGCAAGAGTCTCACATTTAAATCCTTATCTTTCCATCACTGTGCCTTTGTGATGACTTCTCAGGAGGCACCCCATCAGCAGGCAGGCTTCCCAAAAGAATGTCCTTATTGTCTATGGTACTTTAGTCAGAATGTCCAAAACAGCCCTCAGCCCTTCCAAATGTGAGGAAACTCTCTTCACGTGGAGAGGATAACATAGACTTCATTTTATTTGTACAAATTATTATTGAATCAGCGAATAGGCCACTGTAGGATGGTATGTACTGAGGGGTCACTTTGATATCCATGTTCCTTCATAAGATACAGGGTTCTATTTGCCTTGCTGAGTATTGGGGAGCTCCTAGATATACTCGATTTGGGCAGTTATTTTTCACCTGGGAAATTTCTGTAACAGTAAGTCTTTAAAATGAAAGAATAATAAAAGGAGGCAGATTTCCTAACATTTGTGGAACTTTCTGCTCTCCAAAAACTTTATTAATCAAAGACAGCTACTTCCAGTTACCCACTAAGAAATTATAGAACTAGGTAGGGTTTGGAAGGAAAGAATGATTTATTTGATTTCTTCTCTTTTTATTTTCTTAATCTCTTTTTTAAAAGACGAGTAAAATTTTGCTATGCTAAGAAAACTGATTAACCTCTGCTGAAACCTGAGCCTGCTTGACTCCACGATTCTCCTGGGCTGAGCCTTTAGGGACCTCCTTGCAAGGTGATAGAAAGGCTGTAGAGCCTCAGATGCTGGAGCTCAAAGGCCAGGGAGCACTTAGCACTGCTGGGTGACCACAGCTGGGCTGCTGGCTGTACAAATTGCATACTGAGATTCCCCTAACCGGTTTCCCTTCACCTTCCCCTCCCCCTTCCCTCCCTCCATCTCACTTTCCCTCTCATTCCTTTCCTCTACTCTTCTCTTTCCTCTGGCTCTTCTCCTCTCTTGTCTACGTTCCAGAATCTTGGTGGGTTCCCCTGCCGGGGTTTTTGAGTTGCATGTGACAGGAAATCAAACATGAACGTGGTCTGTAGGTTTGCCTAGTCAGTCCCTTCTCTCCTCACTCCTTCCTCTCTTGCTGCCTCAGTGGGCCTGGTAAAGTCACCTATGTGCTTTCCAGGGGGATAGACCACTGCTGAACAGCCAGTCGGGACAAGCTCTGACTGCCAGCGAAGGGCCTGTGCCCTCACAGGACTGAGGCCTCACCAGGGTACACTGACTCAGCCTCTCCATGTTCTCTCCTCCGCGCAGGGAACGTGACTGGAAACAGCAACTCCACGTTCATTTCCAGCGGGCAGGTGATGAACTTCAAGGGCGACATCATCGTGGTGTACGTCAGCCAGACCTCCCAGGAGGGCACGGGAGGCACCACGGAGCCAGAGTCAGAGCCTGTGGGCCGCCCAGTGCAGGAGGAGACCCTGGCTCGCCGAGACTCCTTCGCTGGCAACTCTCCACGTTTCCCTGACCCATGTGTGGGCAGCAAGGGGCTGCAGGAGCAGGACACTGTGGAGCTGGACAAGGCCTCCTGGCCGGTGCAAGAACAAGGCGTGGCTCGGGCCTGAGGCCTGGCAGAAGCAGGGAGAGGCCACTGGGCTGACAAGGCCTCATGATCCAGGACAGGAGCAAGTTGCGGCCCAGAGGCCCAGGCAAGAGGGGTGCACCAGGGCCTGGTGAGGCGTGGAGGCCCTGACCTGAGCCCGGGCAGAGCAGGGCAAGGCCCAGGTCGAGCAGGGCACGGGTGCCACGAGCCAGGTGCTCCAAATCTGGCCAAGTCCTCAAGGGATGCAGAAGTAGAGCATCTCTCGGGCCTGAGGTCCCCTCCTGATACACCACCCCACTCTACCCTGCAGGATCGGTACAGTGTGCAAAATGACCCCACATCCTCTACCTACCTTGCTCCACAAAGAACCAATGACTTTCCAAGAAGTATGTGTATTGTGGCTGGCCACGTCTCAATGCCACAGAACAGTACATACTATCTGTTGGTGCTTTTGGCTGCCCTCCTGCACTTCCTTCTGTGACTTTTCTCTTCTGCCTCTACCACCATTATAAATTAGTCAGTAATTTGGCCCTTTTTGAAGTGTTGGTGACTGTCTTTCTCTACTGAGGTCTGTACTCCCCCCCCCCATATTTATATTTCACTTGCTTTTGTAGTGTATTTCTTGATCCTTCCTTTCTTCCTCTTTCTTTCCTCCTCCTCCTCTTCCTCTTCCTCCTCCTCCTCCTTCTTCTTTTCTCTCTCTCTCTCTCTCTCTCTCTCTCTCTCTCCTCTCTCTCTCTCTCTCTCTCTCTCTCTCTCTCTCTCTCTCTGACTAATGGTTGTCTTGAAAATTCTCCTGAAGGTGCTGGTCTCCTTTATGTGCTTTCTCTTGCAATCCTTCCTACACTGTTCTGGCGGTAGCTTTCCCCAGTGTAGTGTAAGCACTTTCCAGAAAGGCTAGATCTGTACAGCTGGGAAGTGAAGTGTGGAGAACAAGTAGAGGGACTTTTATTTTCTGAAAAATATTGTGTCTCAATTTTTTTGACACAGAAAAAGAGAAATGAATATTTTTCCTCTGAATATTTTTAAGTTTGTATAGATCCTTGAGAACTAAATTCAGTGTGTGGCCTCATCTACCTGGGTTTTTAGCCTTACTGAGGATGGTGAGAGCTACTTAACCACTAAATCTCTAAAATGCCAAGAATGCTTAGCATTCTTATTTTTGAATGATGTCTGTCTAGAAATGAAGGAGAAAGTGAGTAGGACTTGGGGCTGCTCTGCCACCAAGTAAAAGGGAGATACTAGGAAAATTCAAGAAAGAAAGAATAAAGTTGATATGTAAATTTGCATTTTTCTCTTTCTAGATAAGAATGAGGAAATGTGTTTAAACAGTAGGCCCTGTTTTCTTCCAAATTGTTCAACTGTAATTTAGCGTTATGAAAGTAGAAAACATTCCTGCACTTGTGTGTGTGTGTGTGTGTGTGTGTGTGTGTGTGTGTGTGTATTTGTCTGTGTGTGTTTAAAGTATAAACCAGGGGACTGGAGAGATGGCTCAGCAGTTAAGAGCACTTACTGCTGTACGCATGGTGAGCAGCTCACAACCATCTGTAACTCAGCTCCAGGGTTATCTGACACCCTCTTCTGGTACACACACACACACACACACACACACACAAAAAAAAAAAAAAATAAAATAAATGAGTTATAAACCAAATCTCCATGTGGTAGATATAAGAAAACTTGGTATCCTACAGGTGCTTTTTTCTTGGCACAGGCGCTATTGCAAGGAAGCAGTGTAAGACTGAAAAAAGACACTGGGATGGATTTATGTACTGGGGTTCATGAATACAGGTTCTTCTCAGATACTCAAGAACAGCTAAAACACCTAAGCAAATTACAAGCAGTTTTGCACATCTGGTAGGTTATAAGTATGTTAATAATGGTCACTGTACAGAAAATTTTGGCCATAAATACTCAGCTGAACAGAAGGTCCATCCATTACTGGTTACTGTCTCCTGGTTTCAGTTCTCCTGGCAATGCTGGGGTCGCAGCAGTTAACTGTGATTTTTAATGCAAAAGCAGAGGATGGCTCTGTAATTTATGGGGCTCTTTCACTGACGTAAAGAACTGCAGGAAATAACCACAGTGCCAGACTGATCCACTAGGGGAAATTTACTGTCTGTTCTGCCCTTTTAGTTAACATCCTTCCAAAGAAAGATGTTAGAAAAATCAAAGAAACCATTGCACCATTTGATATAGAATATATTAAACAGACAAAGTTACAGTTCACAAAGTAGGCCGCTGAGCTAAAACCCCACATCTCTAACATGACTGTTATCATCTTGATGAGCCTATTAAGCCTTTCTGTGTTTTCATTTTTCTTTCTATAAAAAGTCAACAACTATAATTTAACATTGTTTCCCTACTCAGAGATCTCAAAAGGATGCTGCAGTGAAAGCTTAAGTACCTTGAATTCCTTAAGTCAAAGGTGCTAAGTATGTTAAGAATCTATTTTCAGGAAGAAAAAAAAAAAAAAAAAAAAAGGTAATAAGGCTCCCATACCAATCCCTACTAATTTTGTATTGGTTCAAAGACAGTTAAATGATAGGAACTACATAGGAAATATAGATCTGTGCCTGTGTGTAATAGAGATGTCTGTGACAAATGTAAACAATATAATGAAGGCAATAGTGAAAAACTAGCTCAATGATGTGGTAAAGAGATTATTAAACCTATATTTACCTATAAAGTTAATTTTCATGTCTTGTTAAAAACAAGGCTTATTATAAAAATTGTGGTCCAACTTATTTCTGATCTTTATGGTATGCTATGGTGTCAGACATTGGTTTTATTGTGTCTTATTAGTGGTTCCCTTGACAACAGACTTGGGAGAGAAAGTGTCCTCTGACAATGTACCTGCCTGGATGAGAGAGACTGCTCTGTGATTAAGATCACACACTGCTCTTGGAGAGGTCCAGCGTTGGTTCCTGGCACTCATACAGGCAGCTCACCATCGCCTGTAACTCCAACTCCAAGGAGATCTGACACCTCTGGCCTCAATGGGCACCTGTACTCACAAGCATATATACACGGACATACACAGACCCACAATTAAAACAACAGGGGACTGGAGAGATGGCTCAGTGGTTAAGAGGACTGGCTGCTCTTGCAGAGGACCTGAGTTTGGTTCCTAGTACCCACATTGTGGCTAATAACCATCTTTAACTCCAGTTCCAGGGGCTCCCACAGCTTCTTCTGACCTCCACTGGCAATGCACGACACAGGTGCACTTACATACATGCAGGCAATACATTCATGCACATAATATAAAAATAATAAATAAAAGCCCAGACCTTTAAAAAGTAAAAAATAGTCTGTTTACCTAGTGAGTAAGTTAAAAGGGAAATAATATGTAATATTGCCCACCCACATGTAAATCAGTAAAAGAATTTCACCCCACCTGTGAGGGTAAAATAGTTTGAATGTGATGTGTAGAACTTTCTCATGCATGGAAAGGAATTCTGCTGTATAGCAAATCACCCCAAAACTCAGTGGCTTAAAATAACCACCACTTACTTAGCTCAGGACTTCGTGAGTTGTATCTACTTGAGTGGGTTCTCAGTCCTGGGTTTAGCTTAGCCAGTTTGCTCATTTGCAGTGGGAAGGCCTCTTGGTTGAAGTGGTTGGTCTAACCTGAGCTCCTGCACCTGGCTCCCATCCTTTCACTCTCCAACCTGAAAATTCTCCTTGTCATTCAGAGTCCTGCAAGAGCAAGCAAAAACCTGTCAGGCTGGGCTGGAGAGATCGATCAGCAGTTAAGAGCACTTGCTGTTCTTGTAGAGAACCCATGTTTGGTTCCCAATACCCACAATTTGGTAGCTAACAACTACTTGTAACACCAGTTCCAGAGGGGTCTGATACCTTTTTCTGGTCTTTGAGAGCACCAGGAACACTTGTAGTGCACATATATACATGCAGGCACTTGCAGGAACACATAAAATAAAAATAAATAATTTTAATTAAAAAATACGGTTTTGGGGTCTGCCAGATTTCTTGGTCTAGACCTTGATTGGCATACAACTTCTACCACATTTTGTTGGCCACAAGCCACAAGGCCAGGCCAGATTCAAGAGGTGTAGACCCCATACCCCAATTGGAAAATGTTTCTGAGTGACATGAGGGGATACGAGGAGGGGGAAGAATGGTGCCCCATTTGCTTCCCACCATAGGGGCATTAATTAGGGTAAAATGCTGCAAAGAAGAGCATTTAAACAGTCTATATTGACTAAAACTGGCACGTCTCCAGCCCCTGATAAGCAAAGAGTTCCTTCTCCCGTCCTGGATCCCTTTGATGTCAAGTGCTGTGGATTGATTCCTCCAGTGGGAGAGATGCTCACATTCATATTAGGCATCTAAATCCCTTCCAAAGACAATTTGGGAACTGGGTCTACAGTACTCCTCCCCCACTCCATTGGCACATAAAACTGCAGTGTGGCTACTTGTAAAGCCAAGACACTGCTGAGGTACTTTGGGTCAAGGAAGCTTGAGCCTCAGTAGATAAACTACCTGGTGCTCACCCTTTCCACTGATTGAGCAAACCATCTTTTCTTGTGTGTGTGTGCATGTGTGTGTGTGACATATGTACATGTATGTGTGGCTGCACATGCATATGTGTGCAATGAATGTGGTAGCCAGAGGTCAACTTAGGTGTCATTCCTTGGGATAATATCTCCCTTGTTTTTTTTTTTTTCACTTATTTATTTTTTATGTGTATGAGTGTTACGCCTGCATGTATGTAAGTGCACCCATGTCATACAGTGGCTATAGAGAACAGAAGAGGGTATCAGATCCCCTGGAACTGGAGTAACAGATGGCAGTTAGCTGCCATGTGGATGCCGGGATTTGAACCTGGGTCCTCTGCAAGAGCAGCTACTGCTCTTAACTGTTGAGCCAGGTCTTCATCCTCTATTCACTTTTTTTGTTTTTAGTAATATTTGAGATTGATTCTTTCAGAATTTCATAAAATGTATGTTAATCACATTCAAACCCCACTCCCCCAAACCCCCCACTTTGTGTCCTCTCTCTATGCCTCTCTCTATATACATATATGTATATATATGCATATATATGCACACACACACATATATATGGCTTATCAAGTCTAACCTGTGTACCCCAAAATGCTTGAGTATGGATCCATCCCCTGGAATGTGGTCAGTCTACCTAGTGTCATACCTTAAGGAAAACTGACTCTCCCTTTGCCAGCAGCTATCAATTTTCCATTCCTCAGGTAGGTCTGGGACTTTCTCTCTCTCTTTCTCTCTCTCTCTCTCTCTCTCTCTCTCTCTCTCTCTCCTCCATGCTGGGATTTTGTCTGACTTGGGCTTGCACAGGTCTTGTGCACATTGTCACAAGTGCCATAGGTTCATACGTGCAACTGCCTTGTTGTGTCAGGAAAAAACATTCATTGCATTCATCCACCACCTCTGGCTTTTAACATCTCTGCCTCCTCTTCCTCAATACTCCCTAAGCTTTTGGGAGAAGGGTGTGATATAGATACCTCATTTAAGGCTGAGCAGGCTCCTATTCTCTGCATACTGACCAGTTGTGGGTCTCTGCATTGATTGCAATCTGCAGCCCAAAGAAGTTTCTTTGATGAGAGTTGAGAAATGCACTACCTACAAGTATAATAAGTCATTAGGGGTCAGTTTAATACTATGTTCATT